AGGGGGGTTTGTTCATTATCCTTGAGGTCCCTTCCAAACGCAGGCCATTCTGTGATTCTGTGATTACAATTTCCTTGTGCTATCGCATTAACAGTGAAATGGCTGCCGTGCTTCCAGAAACAGCCTGAACAGACAGGCATATTTGCAGAACAAAAATTTAAAAAAATCAACGCAGAACAACACTAATAAAAACTTCTGAGTTCAAACTGCTTGGTAAAATACACTATTGTGCAGAGTTTTCATAGACCATAAAAAGTCATCTCCATTCATTATGCAGAAAATTTACTTGGCCAAGATTTATACGTGAAGGCATACATATTAAATTCAGTTAGTGTTTGCTCATGGCAAGCTCTGTCCCACCAAAAAATGCCTTTTTCATTAGAATTTATCTTGGCTCTAGATACAACAGGACTCCATCTCACAAAAAGACATGGAACATTTGCCAGTTCCTCTTAGGAGAGAAGTCATTAGTAATGACATGAAAAGATGCGGTCATACACTTCTCATGGCAGAGCCCAACAAAAAAGGATCAAATTATCCCTAATATTTGGCTAGGAATTTTGTTTGTATCTGACAAAATAGGGAGAATAATGGAATCTGCAAACAATAGGGGAGTTTGGGAAAATATTTCTTCCTGCTGCCAAAAAAATTAAAAACACACAGTAATGAAGATATGAATCTCTTTCCGTCCACAGTCCATAGTCAAGAGACATGAATCTTAAGAATGTTATCTTTAGAACTTTCTCTTGCTTCTCCCCCTTGCCTTCCACATGCAATTTATCAATAGTCACTGCATTTCAGACTATCTTTTAGCCACAATGGCTTTCATATTTCTTCCCATAATATTCAGAAAATAATACATGCAGTGGGATATAAAACACTAAAACAGTCTTCACTGATGAAATCTAAGAGATTGTCAACCACAAAGCTAGGAAAAGTAATAAAAACAAATTGAACAGAAAAATTTTAAAAGATGTTATCGATCCAGGAAAACATTCAGATAGTGAGCCCTCTTCCACTGACTTAATGGTAAAACTCCCATAGACTTCAGAGAAAAGGCTGAGTATACACTGGATAAAAATCCTTGAAATCACATGAGCTATTCAGCCATTAAACATCAGATCCCATTTATACAAGCCACTAAATTAGACTTGTCAATATTGTATGCATTTCAGCACTCCAGTATCCCTTGCAAAGCTTAAGCAGAACTCCATCCAAAAAAACAAACAGTTTTAAGTAATGTAGAGTCCTAACAAATGCCTTGACGGTATTTGTACTTCTGTAGATGTCTATTTTTGGAATATGAAAGTAACCTAAAGATTTAGATCCCACGGAGAACTTTGAAGACTGAGCCTCAGCGATATCTACATGGAGGAAATGCGACTAAGAGCTCAACGCAGCCAAGAATTTCAATATATCATTAAAATCAGGCTTATGCTGAAGTCCTCACTTTTTTCAACAAAAATACACAGGACTATGTTTAAGTGCTTTGTTGAACCGAGGCCCAAGTTCTAATTTCCTTTATTTATCTTAGATACAAAATGGCTACAGGAGGGGGGTCAAATGCTGCAATAGATAGGTTATGGGTTTAAGGACACTGGAACGGCTGCTATGAGCTGGTATGGGAAAAAAGAGAAATAGTTTTAACAATGGAAATAATGGGGAGAAATGAGATACTTTAAGAGTCTAAACAAGAGCCTCAAAGTCACTTAGCTTACTTGCCCCATCTCTTCCCTGCCTGCTAACCTGCCATCTTTCCAACTTCAATTTTTTCAAGTTGAATCCTAAGACAGTGTGGGTGCAAATAATAAAACAGAATGGTAACAGAATGGCAGAGAGAGAACGGAGACTAGAAAGAAGGTATTGCAAGCAGGCTGCAGGGAGCAGCCCCACATTGTGGGGAATGCAACAAATAAGGTTTTCATTTCAACTTCACTTTCTAGAGATCCAATTTCTTTTGCTGTCACAGTACCTGCAAATACACCAGTTCCGAACAACTCTGACTAGTAACTAAGGAAACCAAATTGGTTCAGAAGGAGCAATGGAAAGGGACAAAGGGATTTTTTACCTCCTGTGAACTTCACCAGGGACAGATCTGCACCTAGAGATAGTGGAAGACACTGTGAGAAGGCAGTAAAGGAAAGCTTCTCAGTCTCTAATACAAGCTTTATCATGTTACAGGAATCCAAGAGCTGGAATTTTTAATCATGCATCTCATTAACAGTGCTTGAAACAGTGCTGTACTCTGTCTTTTATGAAGTGGTGACAATGCAAGAGAAGGAAGTCAGGTCATTGCACACTCAGCTGATGCTCTTTGACAAAGCACTTCTGCAGAAGGTCACAGATGTGCACTTTTATATCACAGAGGAAAATTAATTAAGAAACTTGAAGTTCATACTTTAGCTGTTCCCAGATGTAAACACAGACTTACAAACAGGAGGATTTGCATTCCCTGTTCCCTGCTCTAGCCTGCCCCCAGACTGTCAATAAACTTTCACCAGCACTATCTGACCCATGTTCCTAGCAACTGATAAACATAACTGGAACGTAAGGATACTCTTTTGTTTACTTGCTTTTGGGAAGTCTTCTTCAGATCTGTTCCTAGGCTGCAATAACTCTTTCAATGTGGCAGAACAAACATGCAGGAAATTTTCATGCAATGAAGACCAAAGAGATAGGGGATATGCAGGTAAAGGGGAAGACAAATACACATCTAGAAGAATGCATACAAATTTAACTCCTAGCTACCTTTAACAAATACGTTACACACGGTAGACCCCAATTTACCTGATTCCCACCCTGCAACCTTAGTTGGATGCAGCATTCCCCACAGCTCACTCTGTGACAGCCCCTGTACCTGCAGCTGTCCTCTTCTTCCAGATAACTGCAGAGTCCCAACAGAAGAGTATGTAGCTGACTATGAAACCAACTTCATGTTCCTCACACCAAGATCACCTTGAGGAGCTGCTATGTAATGCAAATGCCAAATCGGCACAGTACTTTTAAGAAAAATAAACCAAACAAAGTAGTAGTTCCCAAGAACTTTAGCCAAGCCTTTGTACAGCCCAATTCTAGCTGGAAGACAGGCTCTTTTTTGTTTGGATTTGGTAAATCTTCTTGCAATACAAAATAAACATTATCCTGGTCTATCCATTGGTATTTTCACATAATACATTGTTATCTCTAAAATCAATTTTTAAAGGATCAATACAGAGGTATGTCACTATTAAAGAGATTTGGAAGATTTTGATCACACCAGTCTGAATTTCCTCAAGGAGTTACAAGGGGACAGCAGTATCCTCCATGCACACAAGCAACACACTTCTGAATAAGCCCTAGCTTATTCAGGCACAGTACAAAGGCTTGGCTAAAAAATTCCACCTGAAAAACAAATGCATTTTTAAGACTACGCTCAAAATAAGTATGTGCAAGTAGCAAGGAGATATCTTTCTTTTTAACAAAATACAAATATTTTATCACTGTTTGTCTTCAAACACATGGACAGCACCCCCAAATAAATGAACTGCATTATGTACTGAGGCAGTGGCACAGACTGCATAGGGAGGTGGTGGAATCACCATCCCTGGAGGTGTTCAAGAGCCGTGTAGATGTGGCACTAAGGAACGTGGTTAATGGGAATGGTGGGGACTGGGCCAGGCAGGTCATACGATGAGTAGATCATAGCAAAGTTTATCTGAAGACTAAAATTCAGATGTTCAAAGTGAATGGTGGAGGCATCTAGCCTTAAGAGAGCTGCACAAAACAGCACAGAATGCCCTTTGCATGGCCTAATTTACTCATCAGCACCAGAAGAGTTTATTTCAGTAACTTAGTGGAATTTCCACAACAGATCTTACTGTTACTTCAGGTATTTCTTCCATGTGTTCTCCATGTTTACTCAGGACGTACGCTGAAGGACAGGGAATACAAGAGATACGCTTAAAGCTCCACAATCGAAATCCTTCTTTTTGGCCTTCTGCCTTTTTCCTAAATATTAAAACAAACGACTCATTTCTCTAAGACCTTACTAAAAATAGCCAGTTGGGCTGCTTAATTGTGTTAGCTGGAACACAAACATGTGAGAAGGAAAGGGCTCTGCAGGAAAAACACTGAGGAGAGAAAAAAAAAAAAAGAAAAAAAGAAAAGGAGGAAAAAAAAAAAAAGATTTCATCTGGCCTTCCCATCATCACTCGGAGAATTGTTTGGTAGTTACATCATCAGGAAATAAAATACTATCCTCCTGCAGACCCCGACTCTTTACAGAAGGAGGGGGAAAAAAACAAAAAAAAGAAAAAAAAGGCTGAAGTTCCTATCACCCTCTGAGGAGCTGAGCTGAACTCACGTGTTTCTTTTTGT